GCCTAAAAATGTAGGGCTCTTCAGTTTTGGGAGCCGAAGGCTCTGGGGTTATGATTAAGGTTTACAAAACTGTGAAAGTGGTAGATAATGTAAAGGTGGAGCTGTTATTCATCAAATCTTGCAGTCCTAGATTTAGAAGCCACTTGATGAAACTAGGAGGAGGTAGTTTATAACAGATGGATATTCTTTTTACCTGGTGAGTGGTAAACTTTGTGACCTTGCTTCCCTAAGAGGTTCTTGGGGCAGGCAACACCAGCATGCTGGAAAAGGGATTAGACAAGTTTATGGACAACAGGTCTTAAACAGGTACTTATGGGGCTATGCAGGGATGCACCCTTTAACTTCCCTAATGCAATAGCTGCGGATGCTGGAGGAGTGTGAGGGAAATGGACTTCAGACAGAAGCCCAGCTCTCATGCCTTCCCTAAACAGCCCCTGCTGTAGCTGCAGGTGGATATAATGTTGGATTAGAATTAGAACAGTAGCTTGACCCAAGAAGGCGTGTTTTGTGTCTTGTATTTTATTCCATGCAAATGCAACTACACAAATGGCTGAGTTGGCACACTGAGACTGTTGTTGTCACTGTTATCATTAACATTGGATCTGTGCGCTCCGGATTATGCAGGGCTACTAAATTGTAGTACATGGCTGCATTTTATGTCAGCTGATAAAGCTGATACAAAGTTAACCCACTAATATTTTTAAATGACTTTGAACCAACAGAATGAGTTTATATTGGATCAATACATTGCATCCATTTGTGGTGGTGGTTTTGATACAGCATTGTCAGATCAGAGTTTATTGAGTTGTTGCACTGCAATCCTGAGGGTTGGAGGGACAATAAGCTCTGGCAGGGAGCAGTGGTTGTGCAATCTCTTGAATAGGCTCTGCTACTTAAGTATTTATGTGGAACTGTGTTTCCAAGTCAGATTAACCCTACAAAGTTTTTTCTGGCATGGCTGTACTGAAAAATATTAGTAAGCCTTAACAGCATGCCATCATTTGTTCCTCTTTCCCACACACAGTGTGCTTTTGTTGGCTTGAATGTGACAGATAGCAACAGTGAAGAAAAACTCCTTTTGTTGGTTTATGCTTTATCTGTGCGAGACATCTTGGCTGTTAGAACCTATAGCAACAATCTCTGTAGTATAAACAAATGCCAATAAAATCAAGCCTAAGAAAGATTACATTTTGTGTCATTAGGAGAAAACAACTCTATTCACCAACAAATAGTACTGTTCTTTGACGTGATCTTCTGTTTTCTTTTAAAAACAACTTGAAATTTTACCTGTCCCAGAACAATATACTTAACAGCATTGGGTACACAAGAAATTAATAAAGTCAGCGGAAGCTCGATGAATTAACAAAATCAGAATCAACAAATCAGCCTAGAGTCAATGAACCAAAGTACAGAATCGATGAATAGGTAGGACTGCCAACAGCTTTGAATTCAGGAGCATCAAATCTCCTCACATTTGTGAAAATAAGGGATAGTTAATCATATTTGAATCAGTGCAAGTAAGATTACAGCTTCCACGATGAGGAAATCCTCTTCGCTGACTTGGCTGCAGTTCTCTCCTTGCCGTAGAAAATGGCATTACCCTTTTGTCAGCAAAGACTGGATGTTTCTTTTCATTGTTCTGTCTGAGATAGTCACTGGAAATCTTCGTCAGAAATCATTTGAAACAATGTAATAATGTTCTAGTATTAAAGTGCATGACATCAAATATGTCATTGTTTTCTGAATCCTGTCAAAGACTCTCTCTGTTTTCTGCAGTTTTGTCTTTGTATGTCAGCAGTAAATGGCAAATGTCTGCTGGATGAAGTGTTTGCTGATCCTAGGATACTCAGCCTCCAGATTGCAAAATAGGAAACAGTCAAGCAGTCTTTTATAATTCTATTCTTTTAGTTAAACAGTTTTTTATTGCTTTCACTTGCAGTGCCCACATAACTGCATCTGAGGTAGAGGTGCCAAGCAGCTTCTCAATTCATGATGTTTATTAAAATGGAACAGTTAACTTTTTTTTTTTTCTTTTGAAATGCATTATGTAATCACTCAGCAATGCAGAGGAAAAAACGTGGGGCTACGGACCCAGTTACGTAGAAGAACAGGCAGTATTTTCGTCCTATTTTCGTACTTATTTTTTAAATGTTATTTTATGTCTTCTGGTTGTTAAAAAGTTACTGACATAGTACAGTATTTTAATATGGAAGCTTTAAGTGGTGTGTATCAGGTGAGATGAATCCCACATCCACTGTCTGCAGAATACACTGCCTGCAAAATTAATGCTTCTGGCAGTTCCGATTAGTTTCCCAGATGGTTCAAGGAAGGACTGAGAGGAAAATAAGTGTTCTCTGTGACTCTTCAGCTCTACCAATACCCCAGGCCTTCTCACTCTTTGGGCAGGACTAGGTCTAGAACACTTGGCTATGCCATCTGGAATTTTTATCAACTGAGTCACTTTCCCTAGATCTGCCTTATTTACCAATCCAGTTTCCTTCCTGGTGTTGCAACTGAATATGTGTGTGTGTATGTATCTGTCTGTCTATCTCAGCTGGGGAATCAGAGCTGACTGTGATGGCAGGAATTAGAACACTGTTAAATCAGACTAGTCCTAAACTGTAAAACATAACTTTACTAGATTGGCATTCATTAACAATACACTCTTTGCTAATAGTTAGTTTTTGCACATTATTCATCATTATCACTATTACTACATATCAGTTCTTGCACGCTATCAATCATTATTCCTACAAAGCAGTCAGCCACTCATTTTATATCCTAAATTAGCTGTGAGCATGCAGTACCACAGAGCGGGTGGTGTAAAGTTAGCACCGATTGCTCCAGGCTTGGTCTTAGTTGTGGAGGTGGCCAGGCTCGAGAGCTCTTTGACAGCAGAAATTGGCGCTAAATGAGGTGACCTCTTTCTCCCCATCTACCCTTCCCCAATTTAGGATTTTATCCTTTTATAAAGCGAAAGAATTTCTAGACCATTCCTAGCCCTTGGCCTTTACCCTTTGGCCTGAGTACTGAAAGATGTGTTGGAGGTTAATTTCCCAGGCCTCTGCAGGTGTCTTAGGCTGTTGCTCAGCTGCTCCCCCTGCCCCTTGCTTAGAGGATTCTTCCTTTGCTAGAGCAAGAGCAGCTTTTCCCAAGTTCTCGAGGTTGTGCTTTTACAATGACCAGTAACTGGCCATAAGTGGGCTGTTAATAGTTCTTGGATCCCAGCTTTCAACTTGTGCCTGTATTTATCGTGCCTTTGCTGCTATCCCATACTTAAACTATATAGCGGAAGACGTTATCAAACTCCGGTTCACGCAGCAACTTATCGTAACATGTTGATAACAAGCCAAACAGGACAGGACTGGGGCCTTGCACGGCTAGCATAAGGCTTATGACTGTTTTTACTGGGCCACTGGGTATGGAAATATGTATACCATTATTCTAAATTAGTGTGCTTATGTCAGGACTCAAAACAAGTAAAGGCTGTTTAGTGTGCCTCTGCCTTTATGGGTGCAGCAGATTTCTGCTTTAGCTACACAAGGTTATGTTTGCTAGTGTTTTAAAGAACTCTCCTCTCATAGAATGTTCCCTCATTTTCAAAGTTTAGACCATTACAATCCCCAATTCCTCTGCTCAGTCTTGATGTTTCCAAGAATTATGTTTATTCCTCTCTAAAAAGTACGCTAATGGACACAAGTGAAGGAGTATGTTGGCTCTAATGCAGTAAATTTATATGCAGTGTTTGGACACTATTGAAGAATTGAAATGTGGGAGCCAGACAACACATGACAATCTGGGTGATTCCTTCGATTGCTTGGTCTTGTTTAAGCTACCTAGGAAAGATGGATTCAGGCTTTTTTTTGGACACCCCCCTCCCCTCCCCTCCCAAAGAACCTCCTCCCTCATCTGTCATTAGTCTTTTAGTTTTCTAAGGAAAGCTGGATTGAAAAGTGGTAGAAAGTGGAATGTGGTAAAACACAGGAGAGGGAAATGACAGTTAGTAAATGTTCTATTGGTTTGTTTTACAGTAAGTCCTGTAGTATTTATAATAAAAAAGTTAAGAAAAAAACCCTATTTGACTTCATTAGCATGCATCAGCTATTAATGCCTGTGATTTTTAAAAATAATCCAGCTAATCAATACAACATTGTTACAAAACTTCAGCGCCAGTGTCAATTGGTATTCTCCCACATGTAGCTTGTCCTCTTGTCATCTTACTAGTAGGGGAACAGTACCTTTCTAAGAGTATGGATTGCTGCAAGGCAAAGGTCACTCTGTTAATTATTCTGTTGATTGTCTTATCAAGACCTGTGTTAAGTGGGTTCACGTAATTTAGTACCTTTACCTGTGGGATTAACAGCAGAATGTATTTGCATAATAGAGAGTGTTCTATTTATCGTATAATATACCCAAAGTATTTTGACTCTCTTTTTAATTCTAATGTGTACAGTGATATCTGATAGAGAAGGTGCCATTTTAGACTGAATTTGGTCACAGATACAAATATAATTTTATTTATTTCATTATAATTAAAAATTATCCCTTTCAAAACAGTATTTCCAAAAGCAAGTTAACACTGAAAAAAACCACGTGGTTTACATAAAAATGTATTGATCTAATATTGAAAAATTTAAAATATTATTAAACAAAGGTTGAGTTTCTTTACGAGTGTTCATTCCTTCACATTGTTCTCTTCTTTAGCTGAGACTGTCCTTTACTGCTTTTCTCTCATTTCGTATGGTTCAGCATACTGCTAATGCAGATTAGCTGGCAGCGATTTTGTATATTTATATTTTTTTGCACAGCAGCAGTAGAATTGCACCATGTAAATGCCTTTAGTGCAGTCAGATGCTGCTTTGCTGAAGTGCCTTTGCCTCTCTTTGCTGACCTGGCTGCATTATGTTGCTTCTGCAGAAATGTCGAATCTCCGTCCCCGTTGCGTGTATTATGCTCTTAGACTGAGTTTACTGACGTCAGGATGCAATGGCTGTGACTGAGCTGCCTGCTGCTCAGTTTACATGCTGAATTCACCTACAGCAGCAGCAGATTAGCACAGTAGCAAGCATTTGTGCTGTTGCTACTGTCACAGGCAGTTGCATTCATTGACTTGCGGGGGCTGAAGCACTGAGCAAGAAGTTAGAACACATTGCAAATACAAGAGGATATGCGACAGGAATTCTGGAGGTTACATCAGTGAGACTGAATATGGAAACAGACAAATAAAAAGCCAAGCAAGCTGGGGATTTATAATGCAGGCAGCATTTCCAGGTTTCTTTTCCACTTTGCTCTCATCCTGCTATTGGATTTGAGATCATGTATGTGTTTTGCTGTTGATTACTGGGGGTTTTCAAATCTAATGAAAGAAGAGGATTCAGAAGGATTAATATGTTCTGATTTAAAGGGATTTTTTTTTCTTATCCCTTCCGCTGATCTTTGTTAACACAGCTATGTCTTTGTTACTTTTTTTTTTTGTTTAGGTCTGTTAATATTGTAGCCTTTGGAAATGAAAGAGATGGATTTTCTGAAGACAATCAGCAGTCAAGTCTGATCTGGAGCTATCTAGGGAGAAGTGCTCTCATTTCAGAGACTGAAAGTGGTCTGTTGCTGAATTCTGCCAATCACATTAGAAATCCTGTTTTTACTGAATATCAAGCCTGCGTGTTTGGAAATGTCAGATTGGTGGTACATGACTGTCCTCTTTGGGTAAGCGATTGGTCTGAAACTTATTAACTGGACTTGACAGTGTAGGCTGTCTTAATCAAATGAAAAAATATTTTTATTTTGAATGATTTTCATTATTGTGGGATTTTACTCATATTTTACTCATTGAAAGTAATAAAAACATATAAAATGTAACTAAGGCACATACCAAAAATTCTCTGGGGAGTATGACAGAATGTTCCTCATTAACAAGCCAATGTCTTTCGTATGTATGACAATGAGATTTTCAATTTGTTGTTTAGTGAAAACTTTATTGACAATAATCCAGAAGTAAACAAAAACCTCTTTGTGAAACTCGAATATAAGCAATCTCTCCAACTATTTATCTAAAAAAAAAAAGGAAAACACATACTTTTTTTTTTCAAAAGTGAAAAGGGAATCCGTTTTCCAACTTTGAGAAATGACAGACACTATAATTTAATCTGTTGCAAAATACAGTATATGGAGACATTTTACTTCTGTTATAATGAATAATCGCATCTTTACTTACCTTCTGATGTAGGAAATAATATTAACATAATTTTGGCACTGTTCCACGTTGTCAGCTCTCTTGTTAGTAAGTGAGGCTGTTTAAGTATGAGCAGAACAATTACTACATAAGAAATGACATTGATATCTGAATATGTTAAAGCATACTTTAATGACTGTTTAGTTGCCAAGTTTCATGCACGTTACTGAGTCCTTGAGGACTGTATCTTCTGAGCTAATTTAAAGACAGATTTACATCTTATATCAGTTTGTATCTTATCTAGATTAAATCCATGTGGTTAAGGTGAACTAGTCCTAGGCACAAATTTGGCAACTGTGTACACTGATAGCTGTGCCTCAAGTGAGACAAACTGCTCTTCATCCTCTACACAGTTCCTTTTAGCTAAGTGTGGAAAAGCAGAGGGATGCATACTTGCAAATTAAAGTCCCCCAATGGTAGGCCCTTTTGTGAGAAAGACTGTGATACAAGGTGAGTTTACTTATTTTTCCTTTTTGATGCTGGGAGAACATTTCTTTAGTCTGCCACTGCATGTGTCTTTGTCAGCCTAGAATGCTGCTTAACTTCTTCAGTCTGTAGCAGTGGTCAGAAGCTCAAGTGTGTTGGATGAACTGTCCTGACTATAACCCCATGTTTATGACACAGAGCATTTTACTGTGCTCCATAGGTCTCTCTGAAATAGATGTATTAAGATCTTTCGGAAGTTCTGAAAATGCTCCTGCACTGACGGGGTGGAAAAATAAAACAAGTCTGAAATGTGTGAGGAATGCTACAACAAGTGCATTGTTCTCATGTGCACGTGATCAGTAAAATAACAGTAAAATTAATCACACGTTCACATTACTTTGTAAGCCTTGGATGACCAAACATGGCTTCCAAACAGCAGTATTCCTTTGGAGCCTGTTTAAGTCTCTTGTCTTTCTAGTGCCATCATTGAGGTAGTAGCCTGCTTCTATAGTGATTGGTATGGGCTGCTGAAAAATGGCTGTCCAAGATGACTGTGTTTTCTTAGTAAAGCAGCTGGATTTGGCAACTTCAGCTGTTGATACTGTGTCAGTTTACAGTGCTTTTGGGAATGCTGATTCCTGATGCTGACTACTCACAAGTAGTGTCTGACAGGTGTTATGGATAAATATTGGAGAATGGTATTCCCAACCTGCAGTGGGGCTATTTTCACACAATTGCTCCTTTCCCCCCCGTTAAGAACTGTAAATGTGGTAACTGTCTGTGCAAGGTGTTATCTTTGATATTGCTGGGCTTGAAGAATTAAGGGAATGAATTCATGATTATCAAAGTGGAAAGTAATAATAGCGTT